GGTTCCATCTAGCCATTTCAAGTGGAAATTGATGAGACCTAGCTGCCAATCTAGTACTGCGCTTAAATTCATAAAGCCTAAGTACCATAGAGGACAATTACCATGAAAGTATTTATAGAAATGACACAGGGAAGCTACAATACGGCTATATTAAAAAACGAATTAGTTAATTACTGCTCCAAGTCATCAAAGTAAATTTTCTAATGTTGGGACAAGAATATAGTAACTGATTATTTAATAAAGAATAGAACTTTAAATAATAAGCCTTGGGAATAGGAGGTGCTGTAAACTTGGATATGCGGATGGTGCAATGGATAACGTCTAGAAATTGAAAATCGGAGAGCCGAGTTCCAATTTCAGTTGGGTTCGTTATATTCACATGTTTAAATACTCTTCGGAAAGGCATGGATCCATCTCATCTTCCCACAACTATGGGTTGATTAGTAAAACTTGTATCAGTAAATCATTATTATTTTCAAAAATTATTACGATCCAAAAACATTTTCTGGCTTTAAATAACCTGCAAAATGTTGATAAACCTTAAAAAACAAACAAAGAAATCAGTCAATGGAAAGACGAGAGGATACGAAACGATTTGATGAAGACAACGACACTTGTAATGATAGTTCATTTCAGGCACTGATATGAGAACTTTTCGTTGTTGCCCTTGGTTTATAATGATAATAAAAATTCTTTTTAATCGATATATTCTCTGGTTTCTAAATTAGCCTACGGCAATTTGTTGCAAACATATTTTATTACTTTTCGTGTGTTAAGGAATACGTCTTCAGATCTCTCATCCGAAATGCTTCTTTGTCTTGACTTCCCTTAATCTGATTTAACAGATGAAAAATACAGATCAGTTAAAAACATTGGCAGAAAAAGACAGAAAAATAAAGCTATTCAAAAATGGCGCGCAATAATGAAAAGCCTAATCTTAATTCATGAAATGACAATACATCATCACAGAATTTAAGAAAATGCAAGGAAGTCTGAAACATTACGATAAACACAACAATGCTTAGCAAAAAAGATTTATTTACAATTGTCATGTTGTTATAAACAGGCTTAACGTAAAAGTTTAGTGTAATGAGTATGATGTATAGTGACCTTTCAATGTGTACAAGCGAAATCGCCAGATGAGAGTATAAAGAGTCTTCTGGAAGTAATACAAAACTGATGAGATGTGTCATTTAAATTACGCCTTTTTAAAAAAGAATTATTCAAGCCTGATGAGTAAACATGAAGAAGGCGAAGAAAAATGCATGGTCTACACCAATAGCACAAAAATACTTATGTCTGACACACTGTCTTAAAACACTAGCGAACGTTCAGTACTACAGAAAAACAAAGTCTTCTTTCCGTGTATTAACGCCTCCAAAATTACACTTCATTAATTATTTTAGAAGAACTTTTCTTCTTTCCACTAGCATGGCTAAACTTCAGCAGAGCAATTCCTTGCGCTTCTCACTCTAACGTTTTCCATTGACACCAAATGGAACGATTATATTGAATCAAATGCTAACTCTGTGGTTAGGAAATTTGATTTGCTATGTTTCTCGCCAGAATTTGCACCTTTATAAGTTTACCATTCGTCCGTGCATCCAATATGACTACCGCTTCTGGTCTCGTGATACTTATACATACATACATACATACATACATATATATATATATATATATATATATATATATATATATATATATATATATATATATATATATGTTCTTGCCTTGAATTGGTATTCATTTCGATCGGCTTCAATCGCTGTAACATTCTTTTCTATAAATATTTTCATGGCAATTGTTCTGATTTTATTTGGCATTACAACATTACAAATTTAAGCGCAATACTAGATTGGCAACTAGGTCTCATAATGTCACTGTTAAAATTGTGCTATGTTAATATTTACTCCTCCGCCTCTTCTCGCTAGTCGAACTCTCGTGAAGCTTCTTGCTTTCTTGTCAACTTCCAAAATGTAAATACAATGTCAATCGACATCTTCTGTCTCCTTAGATCTTTTTCTTTTGCTGTTCCGTCTGTTTCTTTCACTCTAAAAACCACTCGCATCTTAGTGGTTTTAGCGCCTTACTTAGAGGTGAAATGATTAAAAAGAAAAGCTGATAATCCGATTCGAAGATTTTCCGCGTTAAAGTGGGAAAAATATGTTTGATTAATAAAAAATCGCGTTGTTTACGTTTGGATACGAAACTGTGCAGATATGAAAAATTTCGAGAGGAGCCATGAAGAGTGGAGTTTTTGCTTAAAGGCACAATTCGGCATTTTCTGAATAATTGGTCCTTTATAGCTTAATTGGTCAGAGTTTATCGGATTTAACGATGACCGTCTTTTCCCAGAGGGACGCAAATTCCTGTCAGAAAGCGTAAATTTTTCTTTAATAATATTTCTCGAACATTCAGGATGGTAGATGAAAATAAATGAATATACTATTTAATAAATAAACGGAGCGTCTACTCAAATACGAATAACGTTTAAAGTTACAAAATTATATATGACTATAAAGGGAAGCATTATAGCCTCATATATAATTAACAACGACAGTATATGTCTAGAAAACCGGAAGTCAAAATGGCTACAATTGAAAATAAAGAGGAAAAAATAAAAGAGAGGAAAGTTTAAGGAGTGAGTGTAAAGTGTGTGTATATATATATATATATATATATATATATATATATATATATGACTCTCCCGTCGTATTCGACGTATAAGAGTTAAGCAGCTCAATTCCTGGGAACCCACAGCTCAGACACCAGCACGTATGATTTGATTATGGTTGTGAAGGCTTTGTGCAGAACCAACCACACTTTTTAAGGGGCCGAATACGAAGACCTGGTGCAGTACGTCCCCAAACAACCCTCCGCAGGTTTTGAATTTAGATTTGTCCTTCTCCTAGATAAGTTGCCATCTGTCCTGCTATTTACCCATGGTATTCGAACTCCGCTCTCCGATTCCTCAATCCAAGCTGCTATCCACTACTACATACGGTGCCGTTATATATATATATATATATATATATATATAATTTAAAGAAAAACAAACCACTTTAAGGCTCTATTTGTAATAATTTATTTCACCAGAGAATTTTATTTTTCTCTGGATCTTCAGACTTCACTTTCAAAAGGTGAAACGAAAAATGAATTTAAAATTTACACTTTTGACGGTCAGTATTAAGCTTATATAAGTTGACATAGAAGGTGATGAGGAATAGTGTGAGAGACATGGTCGAGTTTAGAGAGGGAAGGAAGTGATGGGAAACTGATTAGAAACATTTATAGATGTTTTGATTAGAATTACTTAATATAATCTACACATGTTAATCCATTGCCAGTGTTGACAAATTTATCCTTAATAATAATCGTATTATCTGATGTACCTTCCGTGAGTCTAACAAACTTCTTTTATTTTCAAGATTATTTTTTTTTAATTATCCTTGTAGTTGGCAACCACTTTGCCGTCGTGCGTTACCGGGTATAACTGGCGGTGGCGGGGGGGGCAGAAGCGTTTTGGAAAACAAGTGAAAAGGAAGAAGGAAAACTAATGCTGCACATTTCATAGCATCGTCTCTTCCCTCTTTTTACGAACCCTCTCTCTCTCTCCCATTCTCCGCCCCCTCACGCCCCCTCTCCCCCCCCCCCTCTCTCATTTTCCGACCCACCTCTCTCTTCCATTCTCCATCCCTCTCTCTGCCATTCTCCGTCCCCTCCCCGCCCTCTCTCTGCCATTCTCCGCCCCCTCTCGCCCCGGCCCTTCTCTCCCTTTCTCGTTTTCCGCCCCCTCTCTCTTCCATTATCCGATACTTATTCGTAGATAATTCTGAAATATTAAAGAAGGCTTTCTGCAAAGATACTCAACTTTTTTTTAGAAGCTATTATTATACAAAGAAACTATCCCCATTAAATAAAATATATCTAACCACGGGAGAAAATATAAAATATTTATAAGCGTACAAAATACTACTACTAATAATAATACATATAGCAGAAAAGGTGATTGAGAAAATTACAAACTACTCTGATTTGAAAGTTGATGTAGCAAGATTGTTTGGAATACGGGCTAGAAATGTCAAGGTGACCCTGTCTTGATTGGCACATTGAGATCAATCCTATTAAAACTGTGTGACCTTGACCAGCTGGGGATACCATACCAAGTTAGAGTCAACCAAAGATCGTCTCTTTTGAGCACTGTGCATATTTTGAGGATTAGTGTTATCTAATTGTTATTTTAGTTGATCTTTGTGCAACCAATTTTTTTTTACTTCCCATGTTTTGCACTCATGCGTTATAAGCAGCATTAAACAATCATTATACACTTGATGCATATTGGCAAGGTATATTTATTGTGTCTATTTGTATTAAATACTTTCCAAAAGGTTGATAGAAGTGGTTTTATTTCATTTATGTTATTGTTATCAGCTGTTCGGAGTAGAAGTATTCCTGGATTTCTTCCAGATCTTCATTTCAATTCTTATATTTTGTTCTTAAACATTATTTTTATAGAGATTGCCATGGGTTTTAAGAAAGATAAAACCTCAAAAGTGAAACGTGATATTGTAAAGTTATTGAGTGATGCGAACAGGCTTTTGGCAATTGCGAAAAGGCTACACAAATATAACAGAACAATCGAACAAGAAATTCCTGAAACCATTGGCGAAATAAGAATTATAACAAAAGAAAAACGGCTCAAAGAATGTGGCACAAAGAGAAAAATGAAAATGGTAATAAGCAAAAAACAAAAAACAAAAAAAAAAACTGTATTGACCAACAAGAAAATATTTGAAAAAGCTGTTATTGAAAATGTATGCAGGGAAAAAGTATTAAACAAAGAATAATGGCTAAAGGTATGAAAGGAATCGAATTGAAATAAAAAAAAAATCAATATCAATCAATAGATCAATGTATATTTATTTGAAACTTTATGAACACTTCTCGAGTTGCATAAAAAAATTATACAAAGTCGAATAAATTATAAACTTTTAGTTGGCGGTTATATTTCGTTGAAACACCGGTTCTCGTACGATCATCGAAGTTAAACAACGTCGACCCTGGTCAGTATCTAGATGGGTAACCGTTTGGGAATATTAGGTGTGCGGGTGGTGTAATAGACTCGGAATTGTATATCGGAGATTCGAGTTTCAATTTCACTTAGGCGCAAATATCATTGGGAAAGGTATGAATCCATCTCTTCTACGGGTTAAGTATTAAGACTTTTATCACTAAATCATCAATTTCAACTTCACCTACCGCGACGCGAAAGAGTTCGAACTTTTATTGTCGATAACCTCAAAACGGTAGATTTTATCAATTTTTTTTTGTTATTTTCGAATCAAGCATATACATTTACACCTAAATGGAACTATTCGGGAAATTTTTATAAGAATCTAAGCGCGGGGCTTGAAATGCAAATTACCTTTTTCAAGTTCTGTGTTGACATTAGTTCTGTCATCCAATTATTATCATATAAATTTAGCCTGAAAATTTGACAGTATGGATGACCAAAAGTGATAAAACCTTATATGTCTAGCAATGGTAAATGTATATTCCCAACATTAATACACTGTCAAATAACAGACAACACGTTAGTATCCGAATATTTACGAATTTCTCAATCTCAGAATTATATAAAATTAATACTATTTTGAAATTAATGGACTGAGGAACAAAAAAGTTCTTTCGTGTATTACAGACGATTTTTTTGCGCCACACGAATTATTCGAATCGACGGCGATGACAATAATCAACGAAGAGTCGTGGTAAAAAGAACAAAAGGTTTTCTGCACGAAAAGGAGAAATGTCAGGCGTAAAGAAAGATAAGGAAAACGAAAGTCAGTGATTTCAAACAAGATGAATCTAAAAAGTTACTGAAAAATTCTGTCTCATTTTAGAGAAAGCAAAACAGAAATAAACACTGGAAAACAGAAACAAAGGAGAATTGAAATCAGGAATCAATAGAATTTACAGTATCAAAATTCATTCCTGACGATTCTACACTCTAGGCCAGAAGATTGATGCTATCCTCTGCATTTAATAATTACTAAGTTTAATACTTTCTTTGATTTAATTAAACTGGGGGGCTGAAACTGTTTAACCCATTAGCGCATGGTGTGAAAATTGTTAGAGATGGGGCGGGTACCTAAAATTTAAAATCCATTGGCCCTAAGATTACCATTAGCTAGCAAGGCAGATTAGGCAATAAGAGATAAAATTTTAAGGAAACCTTATACAGTAATGAATTAGTTACATTATTATTATTATTATTATTATTATTATTTTTATAATAACAATAATAAAAATAATAATAAGTGTATATATGATAAAAGCTTTCAGGAAGAGACAGCCCCTCTGGTTCAAAGTGAGCGAGTAATTTTTAACCAATTCCTTGAAATCCAGAGGATTGCACCAAACTTTTGGCTAAGTGTGTAAATTTGTAAATTTGATTCTAAATTATGTCCAGTAGAGCATTATTGTACTTAGACAATATGAGTAACTATTTAAAATTATTATATACCAAGAATAAAAAAGAATTTGAAATGTTACATCTTAGTGACCAAATCTGATAATGCATTTAGCTGTTCATAATCACAACTACCAATTCATCCACTCTAAAATTAAAAGGAAATGATTGTTTATTGATATTTAAGAAAATCACTCTTGAATTCATTCATAGAAAGCCAATTCTACTTTCATAGCCTAAATTCAGATATTTATTAAGAGACGTATCTTAATATTTGAATTTAGGGTATGAAAATCAAAATTATAAAAAACTTGGATGACAAATTGTACAAATCTTTTTATCTATTGACCAGAACAATAGGCCAAATGTTTGCCCTTACCCTCTGGCTTTAATAATTACTAAGTTTAATACCTTCTTTGGTTTAATTAAGCAGGGGGCTGAGTCTGTTTAACCAATTAGCACATGGCGCGCAAATTTTTAGAGAGAGGTGGGGTACCTAAAATCTAAAATCCGTCAGCAGTAACATTGCCTTTCTAACAAGCACAGCTCATATCCTGCGATGAGTTTTGTCAATTTCAGATTTTTGTTGTTAATATTCATTTTTATATAATTAAGTGATGACAACAAAAGAAATCCCAGCCTTCGTTCGTCCGAGGTCAAAGGTTATAACCTGGAATGGGATTATAAAAAATGCAGGTCAAAAAGTCATTTTTGCTATAATAATATTTGTAATAATATTTTTAAATTATTGCAAAGAACACTTGGGAGATGGATACGAAAAGGACACGTGAAAAGAGAAATAGAGTTAACATGTAGTAGATTGTAAGAAACATTCGTAAATGAGTGGGTTAAAAAAGTTTGCTTACACACTGTGCTTAGATAACAGTGTCAGAAGTCCGAGCGTAGACTGATTTTCTTTTTGTGGGAATGCTTGTGAGGGCAGGAAGGAGAGATGCGATCGTGTACAGCGTTTAAGAAGAGAGTTCCGATACGGTAGACAGTAGGCGACAATTCCAAGAATACAGATGCAGGCAGAAGGTCGAGTGTATAAAATGGGTGTCCAAGCGGGTACAATATATGTCATTACAGACGCCCGAAGCCTTGTGCAAAAGCAAACAACGAAGACGTACAAATTCATCCGAACCAATATTCTGTATTGAATAGCTTAAGAATATTGTAAATACGATAGCAGTAGTCAGAAAGTAAAAATAAAAACCTTTCCACATGCTTATAGTAAATGGTGTAGTCCATATCATACAATTATTTCTATCGAGCCATCATTCCCCAATGGCCATTATCTGTTGGCATTGTTACCAGCCCACACGGTTTGATTTTTCTAAAAAGGGCTAAAGTTGCCAGTATTTGGTTTGCTTAGATTTTCTATTAAACTAGATCGAAAATGTTTGCGAGAAATACCAAATTATATTATCAAAATCAGATCTATGAAGGAGGATATCCGAAAATTACAGTATTAGATGATAGATAAGATCAAGCACTTTTCCCTCAAAATGTTTAAATATGCCTTCCGAGCCTTACAGGGGAAAGTGAGGTATCGGCAAAGTTAATGCTTACAGAAACGCCATAGGCTAGCAGTAATTTTACCTCGCCTAGATTCATAACACGTATAACATATATAAATATGCCATCAAAAAGAAAGAAAGAAACAATCGGAAAGAGAAACTAATGAAAAAAGAAGAGGGAAAAGAAAAAAAGGGGTGCGGGAAAGAAAAGTGAAAAAAGGCAAGAAAAGAAAATATTGAAAAGGGAGAGAAATAAAAAAAAAACAAAAAAGAAAAGGAAAGAAAATGAATTGAGTGGAAAGAGAGAAGGTAAAGGAACAAGGAAAAGAAAAAAAAATTGAATGGAAAGGAAGAAGGTAGAAAAAAAAGGTAAAGGACAGAGAATAAATTCAAAGGAATGGGATGAAGAAAAGAAAAAAAAAAGAAAAGAAAAAAGAAGATAAAGGTAAATGAATGAGAAAGAAAAAAAAGAAAAAGAAATGATATAAAGAAAAACTGAATGTGAAAGATAAAAAAAACAGAAAAACGAAGGACAGAAAGTAAAGAAAAAAAGAATGAGTGTCAAGAAAAAAGGAAATAATATGAAAAAGTCAGCATAGAGCACAAAGAATTTTTAATAATTCAAAAGCGAGAAAGTGACAATAAAATATGGCGGGAAGAGATTCGAGCAAATGTCCATTAATCGATGAAATTATACTGCAAATCTCTAAGGGAATTTTCATCTAAACCCTTGAATGAAATTCAACAATTGTACATTTCAGTGTAACTCTCCACACGTAAATTTCCTATTAATCTTTCTTATTTTTATTTATTTTCTTATGTTGTATTGTTTGCAAAATTGAATATAATTTTTCAACAGTTAATTTTTAATATTTTTATTATTTTCCGATATAGATTAATATTAACACGAATATACAATTAATATTTTTTCTCGTAAAATAAATATAAATAGACTTTAAAATTAAATACTAACTCTTTTTCTCTTTCTTACTCTTCTATTTCTCTTTCTTACTCTTCTATTTCTCTTTGTTACTCTTCTTTTTCTCTTTCTTACTGTATTTCTCTTTCTTACTCTTTTTTTCTCTTCTTACTCTTCTATTTCTCTTTCTTACACTTCTATTTCTCTTTCTTACTCTATTTCTCTTTCGTACTCTTCTATTTCTCTTTGTTACTCTTCTTTTTCTCTTCCTTACTCTTCTATTTCTCTTTCGTACTCTTCTATTTCTCTTTCTTACTCTCCTATTTCTCTTTCGTACTCTTTTATTTCTCTTTCTTACTCTCCTATTTCTCATTCGTACTCTTCTATTTCTCTTTGTTACTCTTCTATTTCTCTTTCGTACTCTTCTATTTCTCTTTCTTACTCTTCTATTTCTCTTTCGTACTCTTTTATTTCTCTTTCTTACTCTTCTTTTTCTCTTTCTTACTCTATTTCTCTTTCTTACTCTTCTATTTCTCTTTCTTACTCTTCTTTTTCCCGTTCTTTTCTTCTTTTCTTTCTTTCTCTTCTCTTCTTCTTCACTTTCTTACTCTTCTTCTCTTTCTTACTCTTCTTCTCTTTCTTACTCTTCTTCTTCACTTTCTCACTCTTCTTCTCTTTCTCACTCTTCTTCTCTTTCTTACTCTTCTTCTCTTTCTCATTCTTTTTCTCTTTCTTACTCTTCTTTTTCTCTTTCTTACTCTTCTATTTCTCTTTCTTACTCTTCTATTTCTCTTTCTTACTCTTCTATTTCTCAATCTTACTCTTCTATTTCTCTTTCTTACTCTTCTATTTCTCTTTCTTACTCTTCTATTTCTCTTTGTTACTCTTCTTTTTCCCTTTCTTACTCTTCTATTTCTCTTTCTTACTCTTCTTTTTCTCTTTCTTACTCTTCTTTTCTCTTTCTTACTCTTCTTATTTCTCTTTCTTACTCTTCTTTTTCTCTTCCTTACACTTCTATTTCTCTTTTTACTCTTCTTTTCTCTTCCTTACTTCTTTTCTCTTTCTTACTCTTCTTTTTTCTTACTCTTCTTTTTTTCTCTTCTTTTTCTTCTTTTTCTCTTTTTTTTTCTCTTCTTTTTCTCTTTCTTATTCTTCTTTTTCTCTTTTTTACTCTTCTTTTCTCTTTCTTTCTTCT